CTGAGCGTCATAGTTATGTTGTCATCTATAGACGGCAGGGGATGGATGCGATAGGAGGAGGTCATCCAGGGTGACAAAGACACACAGCAACACAAAGGCTTTTCACTCCTAAAGCCAGTTAGTTGACCATGGTTTCACATAGAATCCTGCTTTTACCTTGAGTCCCTGTCAATACGTGCTGGATTTGAGAAAAATAAGCAATTCGACACTTCAACAATCAACTTGTGTAACGCTGTCTGATCTTCTCTACAGACTTCAAGGCTATAAAGCTTTTATGAGACAGATCTTCAGTGGCAACAAATCTGTCAATGAGTGACAGAAAACAATCCTTTGTTGTTGTTTAACGGCAGCTTTTAGGGTCAGACTGATTTATTGTAACTGAAAAACAAGTTTGACACATTTCAACACTTTTGACATATCGTCAAGTGAGACATGAAAGGAGTCTAAAGCCATGCTAGCGGCTCTGTGGAGTTGTACTTCGAGCTAAATGCTAAAGTCAACACGCTAACATGCTCACAATGACAATGCTAACATGTTGTTAACAGGTTTTCTGTGTTCCGTGTAGTTTTGCATGTTAGCATGCTAACATTTGCCTGCTAAACAGCACTAAACATTAAAGTCTAGTTCACACTACACAACTTTAGCACAAATTTTTCAGTTTGGAGACCAGACATACACATCAGGGATTCCTCCTGTCACCGGTCAGTCATGTAGCGTGAAAACCACACCGACGTCAAGACTCCCGACGACAGCACAGCAAGTTGAGGTCATTAGTTGGTCATTAGGTTATAAACCAAAGCATTGAATGAAGTACAATTTCGACTTGATGACACGATGTAAAGTTAAGAGATCAACAAAGTTACAACAATTCACCCTGCGGGGGATATGAACGTCGGCAAATTTCATGGCAATTCATCCAATAGCTATCGACGCATTTCACTCAAAACCACAGATATCAACCTCACGGTGATGCTATAAAAGTCGGAAGATCTCCAAAGCCTCTGTGAGTCTTCATCTGGGCACCATAAATGTCCGTAGCAAGTTGTATGCTAATGCATCCTGTAGATGTAGAGATATTTTACATGATAAGTAAAAACAATCTGCTTGTGGTGCTGGAGAAATAGTCTGGGGTTCTCCAAAGTTGGTAAGATCCATTCTCAGGGCACAATGAATATATGTGCAGAGCTTCATGGCAATCTATCTAATAGCTATCGTCACCTTTCGCTCAAGACCAGAAGTTTTAACTTCATGGTGGCATTAGAAAAGTCAGAAAATCGCCAAACCCTCTGTGATTCTTCATCTGGGCACCATGAATGTCAGTACCATGTTTTATCCTAATCCATTGTGTAGATATTGAGATATTTGACATGATATGTGAAAACTGACCTGCTTGTGGCGCTGGAGAAAGAGTCTCTAAAGTTGATAAGATCCATCCTCTGGCGACCATGAATATATCATAGCAGCTATCATAGTTTCATAGCAATCCATCCAATTAATGTTGAGATATTTCAATTTGGACCAAAGTGGTGACCAACCTGCATCTGCATCTCTACAGTAGAACCGCTAGTTGCTAGTTTTAAATCTGGCATTGGGATATTTTTACAAACATGCTGATGGCTGCATCTGTTTTCTCACAGAGGTCATTAAAAGAGTTTTAATCAATTACTGGAAAAGCCCAAACTGTGTGTGCACATGTGATGGAACAGAGGAAGGCTTTCTTTCTCCCTCTCCCTCCAGCAGCAGATAGATATTCAGCTGCCTTTCTGAGTGGGCGTCTTTGGTCTAGATCGACATTCCTGTCAGGGTTCAAGGATATCTCCCGTTTGTGTCCCACAGCTCTATGGCAATGGCCGCTATTGTTTGCCCCGCGCTCGGCCTCAACCTTCCAGCCCCGGGGACAAATCCAAGACTCTTCTGGACGCGAGGGCACAAGCAGCGTGGTCAGCCCACTCTCTGCATTCCTGTACCCTACCTCTGTCAGGCCCGTGGGTGCTGCGCCGAGGCTCGGCCCTGCGGGATGAACAGATGGAGCACTGTGTGCGAGGCAGAGTGGACAAACATGGCCCCCTCTGAGTCCATCCCCATTTGAATGTGTTTGTACAGGAAACTATGCAACTATGATGCCTCCATAGACTTCAGTGATATGTGTGCTTAGATGAAAGCTTCCCCCGCTTTCATATTAAAGATCGAGTTTCTCCGTTTTTATGAGGACTTTCTTCTGAATCATCTGGATTCAGAGGAAATGATGTGGCTTTTACCAAACTGGAATGCAGCCACTAACATCAGCTCATAATAAATGCACTTATAAGAAACCCATCTTCATGTGAAGGGAGAGAAATGTCCATCTCCTCTGCCCATGTAGACATCAGCAGGGAGGACTGGAAAAGAGAGAAACCACGATTAGACCCTACACCAGCATTATCCTGTAATGAAGCTTGGTGACACGAGCACGATATTGTCCACTTTCTATCTCATTTCGAGGGTTTAGCGCACACGGTCGGCCTCCCTCTGTGAGAGTCCATAAGCCGGTCAAGTATTACTCGTTATGTGTCTCACGTTGTACGGCCGTTCACACGCTGCATCAGAAACAAACAGTCTGTCGGAATCTAATCCACCGAGAAAACGTCTTAATCTTGTGTGCTTTGTTAGTGAGAGAAAATAGGAAATAGCTCCTTATAGTCTCCTCACACCCTGTTTGATATAGAAGGCATGCCACGTGTTTTCATTTAGATTGAGTATTTTGAGTATATTTCCTGAGCTTATTTCAGTCCAATACACCTCTGACTGCTTGGTTGTCACTCAAATGTAGTCAAAGCTTAAATCTGTTTTTTTCAGTTTGTCATTGTTATTTTTTTCTCTTCTTATTATGCTCATCTGGATTTTTGCTTCATTATAAAAGCAGCAGGATATGAGAATGAAAACTAATTTCTGAAATTCTGCAGCTGCTCCTCTAAAGTGCTGCTTTCATGTGTCATATGAAAACAGATCAATCTGTTTGCCACACAGTTTTCTTTTGGATTGCTACAAGTTACTTTCTGACTTGAAAAGAGAATCAGCCACAACAACAAGTCGTCTGTTTTCCGAAATATTAATATTCCGATGCTGCATGGGTGTTTTCTGACACAACTCACCCTGCAACAGGTCCTGCTTTGTTCGCTGGCTGCTGCAGCCGCTGCGGGCGAACCAACACACCCAGGACCTCATGGTGATGAAATGTGGTACAATGGCAAATGAAAGCTTAAGTTACACAGTCTAACGTTAAAGGATCATTCAAAATCAAAATCTGACAAACCTGTTTTGGACACAGTGGTGTACAAAACAGTCTTCGCTCAAGGTCCTCTCACTCACTTGTTTGTTCAGTTGCAGATGTTCCAACTTTTAAGATTGTTTGTCCATGTTAGTTTAAATGTGGAGCATGACAGTTCATTCTTTTGGCTCTTCAAAACAGTTGACAAAATAATCTCCACTCGTTTAGCCCATTTTAGGTTTTGGATGAGTACATAATGTTGACCTTTAACCCTAACTGGGGATTTTTAGGGGGCGATAGCAGATCAACAGTATATCCCACATATTAGTGTTGGACATCATCTAAAAGCTGGAAACCTGAAGAATAATTTAGCTCAGCAGTGTGTGTGTGTTTTGGTTATCCACCTAATCAAATTTTTAAATGTTTAGACTGTATAAGAGGCTTAGAACAATATGATGGAAGTGTATGATGGCCATTTTTATTGAGAATTGATACTTTTTCTTTTTAAATCTGAAATCCCTCCAAAATACAAGATTAGGACACGATTACCTCAAGGAACACCAGAGAAAAGAAATCCATGCTGTGATTTGGTATCAAAACTTTTCCTTCGGTAAGAATTGTTTGTTTCGACAATTGGATGGCAAATACTTCAGTTCTGGAAGCTGCTCAGAAACCCCCTTATTGTCAATACACCTAGAAAATCCAAACATCCTCTGAATCCACTAGTTGTCTAGCTTGTGGTTGTGAAGTTTCTGATCCTGGAGGTCACAACAGGTCATTTTTATCCCTTCGTGCCGGCATCCGTCCATGCCTTTTTTTAATTTAAAGTTTTTAAAAATGACAAAAAGACAATGAAGTCTAAGCTTTGCAGTCATACCCAATTTATGCAATTTCTTGTCTGTTGGTATTATCATAAAGTAGGCATGTCTGTAAAGGGAAGATTCATGAGTATCCAGAGAACCAGTTTTTCCCTCATCGAAATGTAGCATAACTTTGGAGCGTTATTTAGCCTTTTTTCCCGACAAGCTAGCGTGAGATGGTTGGTACCAACATTGACCTGCTACAGCCTCTTAAAGACAGCAATGTCGGGCCGGCAGCCCCGGGTCTCAGAGGGTAGGCCATTGCATTCCAGTTTGGCAAAATCTTTAAAAAAATTGAAGTTAAATATTTAACCTGTAAAGCTCGATTAGCCATAAACCTCTGTCATAGCTGGAACTGTTTGGATTTTAATGGTTTCAACATGAAAACACAAACATTCAGAAAATCCGAACATGCAAAGTCACCACAACTTTATTGTATCAGACACAGATACTTGGCCCGTGTCCACAGGTTTCCACACAAGAAGATTTTCTTGTCTTCCGGGCCTCTCCTTATGTTAAACTGGGTGACTGTACATCCAATTTAAACACCATCCATTGAGAGGATATATGAGGCTGATTCAACAATGGCCCCACAGAGTTGCGGGGCTGCTTTGCATCAGGGTGTGAGTGCAGACTCAGAGATAACCCTTGTTGTCCCTGAGGCCAGGGTGAAGCAGATGGGGGGGGGGAGGAACAATGGCCCTGGCCCATGCGGAGGGCAGCAGTGACTGACACAGCCACTGAAGCCCCGAAGAATGCCTGGAGCCGAGCCAGAGCCATGGACCTCACTGGCGCAGCAGCATCCCCCCCCACCCCCCACCACCACCACACCTGACCCTCCTCATGTCCCATGGTGCCCTGCGACCGGAGGGGGCGACACCTTCAAAGACGGCCCCCCGGCACGTCAGAGGACCAGCGAGCCACCCTGAAGGAGCAGCAGAGCCGAGTGTTTGGCACTGTGGGCTGAGGACCGGCTTGGAAGAGGACTACTGAGTAGACAGAGAGAGGACGACCTGACCCGACCCAACCTCAGCAACCACCGGCATGGCGACGGCAAGCACCTCAGGGCTCAGCAGGAAAAAGAAGAACCCTGGTCTCATGGACCAGATTACAAAGTTCTTTGGAGGAGACAAAAAGAAAAGGAGCAAGGTGAGCGTCCATGCATCTGCATCAAAAGGATGGTTCTGGGTGTTTCTTCTTCCAGAACTTCTCTGCTTCTTAAAACTTTAACTTAATGTTAGAACCTCATTGCACTGCAATGCTGCGCTATATTGTACTTGTTTTTTGTTCTTCGAACATTTGTTAGTAATTCAAGAGTGAATCATTTCGTCTTCATCATCATATAGTCATCCACAACATTAATGAATTAGGAAAAGCAATGAAAAAATACATTTTTAGAGATTATCCACTGGGTTTGTAGACATTTAAGTAGCAGGGAAATGTTCACAACCCATTAAGAAATACACACAAAACAAATCTAAATCAGGGTTTGCAGTACATCTCTTATCTCCTTCAGCTCGACTCCAAAGCTTCCAGGAGACTTTTAATACAAATCAATAAAAGATGTTGACAGTAGTTGCTTGAAGGAGAGAGGAGCCCTGATGGCTCACTGACCAGACGCTCCTTAATTGAGATGTGTATCGGCGATTGCCTTATCTTGGGCCTGAGTTTTAATATAGAGGCAGAAGTCCACCAGGCCTGCACTATATTTAGTGAGAAACATGATGATTTCAATGTCATTGGAAAAATGAATTCATGTTCAGAGCAGTTGTTTTTATGGCTGGAAGATTTATTTCCAACCGAGCTCACCTGTGCTGTTATCTTGTTCTCTTCCAATTTGTAAGTAAACGTACACAGTACACTACGTTAAAGAAATAATGCAGTTTGTAATGTCAGCCTGGCCCTGAGCTGCAAATAGAGAAAAAAAACTCTTTCAACTTCAAGACTGGACTCTCTGTGATGGGAGGGGCCCTCGGCAGTCAGACCTCATGCAGCACCGCGCTCCTTTTCATCTGACATCCAAGTGTCTCCGGTTTTGTGGATTTGTTGCGCGCTTTATTGTCTGAGCTTGGATCTTTCCCTCATATGGTGCAGGCTTTCTTTCCTGCACCAAAATAAAGCCACAAAGATGGGTATCTATGAAAGGGATCTTTTTAGGCTGAAACTGAACATAGCAAAACAAATACATGTGAATTAGAGGAAGAGACATTAATGTATTTTTTTGTCAGATGTGTGAGACTGTTCAGGAGGTTGTGTGTCAGCCAGCTACAAACTGATGGACCTGATATCACACTATAGTCGACTACTCTCCTTCACTCTGTAAACCTTTCATACTTTTTCCTTCTAGTATTTTAATTGCCTCTAATTGATTCAATTTGCAGATTTCCTGTCATCTCACATGATTGCAATCTCGTTTTTCTGTATATTGTGAGATGTGAAATTGCTATAATTACTGTAATTATCACATTAGGTTTATGGCAAGATGACTGACGTCTTTTCAAGCTCACACCACGCTACTCCCTCATGATTCATAAAAAAATACTTGACAATGCTGTTGAGTATACATGGCGCTTAAAAGTCGAGATGAAATGAAAAATGCCTGTTTTGACCCTTTTAGATCACATCCCCAGGGCATCAAAATGTAATCATCTTTTACTTCTAAATAATAAAACAATATGACGTACGCTTACGTTAACCAGTGCCGTCCAATTTCAACCAATAATATTTTGCAAAAATCCATCCATAAATCAATCTGCAGCTTTTAGCAACAAGTGAGGTGTGTGTGGATCCACAGTCCTCTGTCGCTCCGTATCACACAAGATTCGAATCACGCCTACTTTTTAACGCTCCAATCAAATGCACAGGATTTGATTTAAATCACTCATGTATTTGTACACCGCTCAAATATTCTGTTTCACTTTGATTTTGTTACCAAACAGATGCAGTTACTTGACCTCTGTTGATCCTCACAGGGTTCGTTCCGGGGTCACCTGGCCACCTCACCCCAGCAATCCTCCGCTCGCCGCCGGACCAATGAAAATGCTGTGGTGCATTTCTTCAGGAGCTTTGTGAGTTTCTTTGATTAAATGGTTTCATGTTGTACATGCAGTCAGCTTTGTTGCTCCATGCTAACATCCTCGCCTTTAGTCAAATTTTGTATTCAGTTTTAAGATGTTCATGTATTACTCTGAGACTGCTATGAGTGGCATAACCCACAACACAGAACAAAATCATTTTCCTCCAACTTATACCGCGTGACTGTCTTCTTTTAATTTACTTTGGCTCAGACTCTTGGCATCAATAGAGCGGCAGCGTTTTCAAAGCTAAACTGCTTCCCTCGGCTCCCTCACTGATTACAAAGCTGCATGACTCCTTCATTTACATACTGATGAAGATGAAAAATAAGAACAGGAAGTGGGGGAAGTTTCAATCAGCAGCTCAAACATTTGTTGATGATTGTTGTTCTATCAGTCACTCTGTTGTTGTTGTTGTTGTTGTTGCTTGGTGTCTGCTCTCAGGTGTCCTCTCCTCGTCCTAAATCCAGGGTGAGTCTCATTTTCTTCACAACATCTGTTCTGTTGATCATTCCAGAGGTGTAGCCGCAGGGTGAAGATGCAGAGATGCATTGATCATTCACTTCTGATCACTTTTTTAGACATGACTTTCCTTCTCTATTTTGCTCGCCATCATATTTCTCAACATCCAATTTCAACTGCATTTTTTGAATGACGTTTTGTTTTCAGCGTTTTATTCGAGATCCACTTAGGGTTTCATTGGATACCTTTGAGCCATTATGTGTGAGAGTTTATAACTTCGGCACCACCCAGTGGGAGCATCACATTAGACGTCAGACAGCATCGCAAGCCGCAAGCCGTTAGCCCCGCCCCCGAGTGGATCCGACCCAACACACTTAAGAAAACAAATGAACTAGTGCACTAATGCCCACCGATATTGTCGTGTCAAAAACTCATGCCATCAAAATCATTTATGCTCGTGGTGCAGTGAGCTAAATGGCTAACATGCTGGTGTTCAGCAAGTGTAATGCATGTTCACAATCTTGTGTGCTAGCATGCTAACATTTGCTAATGAGCACTAAATCCTATAGCCTGTATACTCGCTGCAATTACAGCGAGTGATTGGAACGTCATCAGTTTTTCTTTGACATAAACCAAAGTATTGGACAAACTGAAACGTTGACCAGATGACGGCGCTAGAAGGAGTTTCCAGGGATCACTGAACTCATCAGGATTCATCCTGTAGGGAAAATGAACTTTAAATGTAAAGGCATTTACACACCGGGGGGGGGGCGGGACGAATAAACTACACAAAAAACGAGAAATAATGGTTTGCGAATATTTCGCATCAAAACTATTTATGAACAGACGGCTGCAAAACACTTGAAACCAAGTGTACAAAAGTACAGTAAAATAAGTAAAAGTTGACTTATTTTACTGTACTTTTGTTACGAAACTTACGTAGCACTTGTTTGAATCCAAACCACGATCTTTTCTCAAACCTAACCAAGTAATTTTGATTCCTACACCTAAAGTCGTTTTGTTTCAATCCACAACTTCACTTTCGGTTGGTGCAGTTTGGCCCATCTGAAGCACTGGAATGGTAGTATTAGCCACTGATTCACTTCACCCTGTTGGTGACACGAAATAAAAAGTCAGGAGAGTTTCATCCTCCGGGGACCATGAATGTCTTTACCAAATTTTATTTACAATACATTCCAAAGTTGTTAAGGCATTTCACACTGCTAGCGTGGCTACAATTTCTACACACTCTTAAGTTGTAGATGGAGGGGAGTGTTAGGGGGGACGTCACTCTTTCTGTGCAACCACTCAAGCTTCATTTTAAGGGGTCACAAACCAAAATGTTGGGGACCATTGGGGTCGACTCCAGAGTGAGTTGGCTAAATGTATTTAAAAAAGAAAAGAAAGTGTCAACCTATGTTGGTGATGGTCAGTGATCACCCATTTTGTACTCTAATATACCACCACATCACTGCTAATCTTGCCATTTAATATCTTTAACTGGATGATTCTCAGATGAGGCGGACGCAGGTTCCACTACAGTCCGCTCACTGTATCTCATCTCATCATGTCACTGTCTGTTTCTTTTTCATGTCCAGTGGAGAGACGCCCTGGGCTTGGTACGTCACAACTTCCCTTCTCGAATCGAACAAAAGCCCCATTTCTGACCTCACCTCTTTGTGTGTGTGTGTGTGTGTGTGTGTGAGATTGTGTAGGCGCGCAATGATCCCATTTAAGTCTGTCTGTAGAGAGCTCTTTGTCTGCAGCGCACCCGTTACCTAACCTCCACGCTCGTCCTGTGTCTCTCTCCCCACTGTGTGCTTTTTCCTCCTTGGAGAGAAATATCTTTTAAAGCCGAGCGCATCGATTCAAGACGTGTACAAAAAGCTGATTCGCCAGCATCTGCATACAGCAGCTGGAAGGCCAAGCTCACTCTTGACGGGTGCCGCGGGAAAATCCCTCTCATTCGGTTGATCAGTCAAAGAGAGTATTGGCTCGTTGGTAAATTCATGACGTTGCAATAAATTCTTCTTTGCTTCAATCCAGAGCGAATCACTGCCTCTGGATGACTTTGAAACTGCTCGACTATTTATGAACCACAACCGGTAAACATTTTCTCTCAGGACCTCTTGGCCTGCATCCTCCTCCTCCTCCTCTTCCTCCTCCCTCACACCTCTATTTCTCTGTAACACCTCCACCCGCTCTGTGCCAAGAGATGACTCACCGATCCATCTGTTGTGGCTTCCCACCTTCTTTGTGTCCTCCCATCTGTCAGGCGACCCTGGGACAGCCATGTCATATGTGTGTGTGATTGGATGGTGATTAAGGACCCGTGTCCTCTGTGTGGGTCAGTTCAACGCTGACCTCACCTCGTCCTTGTCGTCCATTTTCTTTCCCCCCTGAAGGTTGCCATTATCCGAGTCTGGTTCCTGTCACGTCTTCATGCCCCCCCCACCCACTCCACGACTCGAACATATTATTTAATAGCAGATGGAAGAACAGGGACCACTGAGTCTTTTCTTCATTTTTGAAAATGTGTGGATATATGTTTTTTTAAATTCAACAGCAATAATTGTGCCCCCTGTAAGATTTTAAAAAGTAGTGGGATGTCTCCGATTGCTCTGATGAGACAAAATGTGTCTCATCTTGAAAGAGAAGAAGGCCATCAATGTAAAGTGGATTAAAACGTCTGGTTAAAGGTTACGCAATGACAGAGCAGCAAACGTGCTTTCAGGCCCTGCTTCCAGGTCTCCACCCGTGCTTACAGAGCGTCTTTTTCTAGGCCTCGTCACCGCGTGCCGAGAGCGCAAAGTCGCCGGTCAGGAGACGCAGAGACCAAAGCACACTGTCCAAGATCTTCAACCTGGTGAGCTTACTGCATGTTCGCCCCCCCTTGTTTCACTCAAATATACTTCCTGTTTCTACCTGTAAGACTGGGCTTCATAAAACACTGTTTCCTGTCTGTGTTTGCCCTCAAATGCAACAGTGATGCTCTCACCAGAGACCAGTGAGTAATGAATAAATACAGTATAATGATTCACCATTTCAGTTTCATTCATCAGCACGCGTTCACAGCAGCCTGTCATCATAATAAACTAACCAGCTTAAGGAGCGACATTTCTCATTTTCGCAGTGACACCGACACGTAAACCCAGATATTGCATTTCTCACACAACTGTTCATTCATTTCTGCAAATACCCTCCACTTCGACTTTTGTGAGGGGTTCATTGTCAGTGTGGTTGATCTCCTAGAAATCCCAATAAATGTGAAGTACTCGACAATCAAATCTCTCGTGAAGTTTCTGCACAGCTCTAACTGAAAATGACTTCACCCCAGATTGCTCTTATAGATGCCATCTCTAGGGATGGAAAACACACTTTTCTCTCAGCCACCTCACCCTCCTCCTCCTCCTCCTCCCCCTCCTTCTTCTCTCCAGGGAGAAACCAAGTCCCGTCCACCCCCAAAACGCTGGAGCACCATCTTCTAAGCTCTCCACTGAGGACCAGGCCGCAGATCCGACGCCAACGCCGACGGGACAAGATGAAGGAGGGGACCAAGCGGCGGACTCACAACCTCAAGAAATGCTAACCCACTAACACAAACCCTCCTGTGTGTTTCGACGGTGACATTGACAGAGTGTAAAAAAAATCCACACTCCAGGGTTTGCAAGTTGTCACCAGGCCTGTCTCTGTTCTAATCCTACTTCCACGGATATAGCTCGTCTCGCTGTTTAGAAGAGGTTTGGTCATGCTTTTAGTAAAACATCCCCCATCCCTACGAGTATATTGGTCCGATGGTGCTAGTGTCCAGCTGTCCCCGGCAGATGTTTGCTTTTTCTATTTGTCTCCCGTCATGTGCGTTTTGTAGACGAGTGGCACGTTTGTGTGTCTCGCTGCTTTCTAGAAACCCAACTCACATCCCAAATTCCACACGTGAAACCCTAAGCGGAGAGTGGTCTGTTTGTGCTCGAGTGGAACGTTTGTCGCAAAGCATTTGAAAACACAACTGGAAACCTGCAGTATATGAACTCTAATATTATCTGTATTTGTTTCATTGTGCCTTAGTGTAATTAATGAAGATGTACAGTATGATGTCATTCCAAAAACAAATGAATAAAAATGCCCTTTTCAAATGCACTGTTCCATAACCAAAGAACGCTCTCTTTTCTATACTGTATCTTTTGCATGGATCTCGTTTATTGTGAGTTATCTGGTTGCATCTTAAATTAGGTTTGAAGTTTTAACGACAGACACCAGTTGGGTTTATCTGATGGTCAGACAGTAAGTGGTTCAAAGGTTGAAAGCAGAAGCACCCGAGGTGGAAGGAGGAGTACTGAATGTTGAATTAAAATGTCCTGATGCGTAGTTTCATTTTGTTCTTGATAAATGACATCGCCACTCTCATTTGTACATGCTCTGTTTGTATGTTCACTTTAACGGGATGGTCAGTACTGTAAAAGTGTTGTTTTTTTGCTGATGTGGTGTTGCTACAGGACTGTTATGTTTCCTTTGTTCAGCCTAACTAAAAATAAACATGTTACTTCTTCTCTCAGCTATTAAATGTTTTGAAATCTGACAATTTTGCTGTCTTCATTGGATCATACTTACATTTGTTTCCCTTTTTATGGATCTTTTAAGCCAAAATAGAATGAGACACATTTACTGTATGTCTCATTCACTTTTAGTTAGCCTTGGCTGGACACAGAAGACGATTAGCTTAGCTTAGCTTAGCATTAAGAATACAAACACTGGACAAATCTGCCTACCAGCAACTCACCAAGCATCAAGTTAGTAACTTGTTTGTCAGCCGTATAAAAACCAAAGTGTAAAAACCAAGACTTGTCGTTTTGCAGGGGGGCTGTGTGCCAAAGTGGAGCCAGGCCAGCTGTCTTTATGCTAAGCTAGCCTAACCCACTGGCTCCAGCCCTTTTATGCCGCACAGACTTGAGGTGTGTCGAGCTTCTCTTAGCAAGAATCACCCAAAATGTTGAACTATTCCTTTAAAGTTGCAATGTTAAAAATCTTGACAGAACTTAATTTTCAAACATCCCAAAAAATGAGCTAACAACATGAACAGAATGCGAAGACGTTACAGTTTTGACGTCACGTCTATGTATTGTGTTGCATGAGCATGCTAACCAGTTAGCTCCGGCCCGTCTTGTAATACCACTTGTACCTCGAGAGGCGATAGTGAGTCGCTGTAGAGTCCAACATGTCCTCAGTCCAACATGAGGGGACGAAGAAGTAGAGCTGCCCAGAGGCCTTGTCATTAGTACATCCGTGGTCCAAGTATGTTTTGATAGTTTATTCCGATAAATCCAAAGTGGCAAAAATGAGAAAACAGTTTGCACCCTTGCCTTGTCTTCCCACTTTGGAATGTCCCCCCATTTTCTTGAACTGATGACTGTACATTTAGAGTGTATGGACCCAGTATTAGAGGTGAAATGCTTTAATATTACAAGAAATACTCAGTTCGACCCTATAAATGGTACCTTGATGTTTGTAACCAAGATCACAGCAGAGACTGCAACCGGCTTCAAGGTTTACTGAGCAGCTGAATAAGTGAAGAGGGGAAACAGAAAGTGTGTATCAGCCCCAAACTCAACCCACGATCCATAACTGAACACTCACGCATACTCTCGAAAAAACCCTCTGGAGGCCAATCATCCACCTCAGCCAGTAATCCCTGTATCAAGGTGTTGTACGAACTGAAAAAAAAACAGATCTCATTTAAGTCCTGCAGTAACACCGAACAAAGATGACGCTCAGAGGTGGGAAAACCAATGTTTCACATCATTAGACATAATGCTGAGATCGAACTTTTCGAGGACATCACATCTGCCCCTAAGATCACAATTAGCAAGGAGGTCCATCTGCCCTGCGTGCAGTGTTCCTGCAATAATTAGCTCAGTGGCACGAAACCCACATCACACAGGCAATTTCTATGTATTTGACGCATTTTAGCATTCACAGCAACAACTAAATATACCGTGAGGCTTCGAGTATGGTTTGCCCCTGCACTGATTCTGGTCACAGAGACGTCTAGTATAGGAAAAATTGCCCCACAAATGTAATCTAATTTAACTGGCTATATATGGAGTGCATTACAGTATGTAATAACTTGTTCCTCATGATACAGTTGCTCTTTGGTGATGGTCACAACCTCATGTTTGCCATTGACGGGAATGTGTAAGGGCTGCTAAATGCACCCGATTACATTAAATGAGTCCCATTCACTGGCTCGTCATCTTTCAGCATCTCTGGGTCTTTAATGGAATTAATGGAGGATGCTTCCTTCAAACACAGTGAGGAGCTTTTGTACAGTTTGATCACAGGAAAGGGATTCTGTAGCGTTGAGCAAGAGAGACCTCTGGTGCTTCACCGTTGTGCTGCAAAGGAACCGTTCTGGTATGAGCCAGACTGTTCTAGAATGAGCCAGAGTACTTTAGAATACGTTTTGGTATTATATAATAGGCCTCACTGATAATAACCAACAGTGCTCTAAAATCAGCCCCAAGTTCTTAAAAGAAATGTCAATGTCCTTGAATAACCCACATTGAGCCTAAATGTTCTAGAATAACCCACAATGTTTTAGAATGAGCATAATCATTTAGAAAAATCTAAAATGCTGTTATTACCACACATACTGAGATTTTCTTCCTCTATATAGTCTGAAGAGACATCAATGTGTCGCAGAAAAACAAATGTTATGCCCTTGTATTTATTTTCTAATTCAGATCAATGTAAATAATTTATGTGCAAAATACAAATGAACTTTAATCGGGCCCAAGAGGTACATTTACAACACAGATGTACAGTTTACAGCATCACTTAACAAGAACTGAGGCTATGTGGCACTGCACAAATTAAAAAGGGCCACTTGATAAAAGCATAGGATTGTTCCTTTTTTTTTTGTCAAAACATCCATGGCATGAAAAGAACAGTCATCGTGTGTATTTGTGCGCACACAATTTACACGTTAACGTTTAATTTCCGCTAAAGCTCTCACTCGCCTCCTCTTTAAAAACATGACTACCGGCGTCCAAGTTTTGCGACTGAGTTCTGAGCTCGTCCACAATCCCAGACACGCTGCCCAGGAGGCCACGCATCCCGTCCTCCATCTCCCCGCGAAAATCCACCTCCTCGACTTTCACTTGTCCTCCCGTCGCGAGAAAAGCCTCGCTGTCCTCAAATCCATAACCGAAGCTGTCGTCGACGTCCGCTGCAGGTGCGGTCTCGTTGCCGTTGGCTGAGGAGCTGGAGGCGAGTCTCTCGCATCGGACCTGATGCCTGAGGAAGCTGTCCCTCCAAATGACTTTCTTCCCACACAGGCCACACTCGTAGGGCCGCAGCCCTCCGTGAGTCTTAAGGTGCTTGGTCAGATGGTGCTTCATCTTGAAGGACTTTGTGCAAACAGGACAGCCGAAGGGCCGTAGGTTGAGGTGCTGCATCTTCACGTGCCGGTCACGCATGCTCTTCAGGGTGTAGGCTTTGCCGCAGTGGCAGAAGTGGACTTTGCCCGTGTAGGGGGCGCCGGCGAGGGACACCGAGGAGGACGAAGACGGCGTCGGGGGCGAAGAGGGCGGTGGAAATGCAGCAGACGATGGAGACAGGAGGCGGCTTGAGGTGGGGGTTGACGAGCTACTCTGTCCCGCGCTGGTGGAGGGCCAGCTCACCTCTGATCCCGCCATGGTGAAGTCGGGGGACACGGGCACTAAAGGCCTCTGGGAAACCTGTCCCGTGCCATCTTGGATCTCGTCATATGTGCCTCGGCTAAACGTCCCTTCCGTGAAACATTCAAAGTCTGCGTCCTCCTGCTCGTCACCTTCATCCTCGTCTTTACTGCAGCTGCCGCCCCCTCCGTCCTGAGGCCTCTGCTCTTGTTGAGACCAGGGACCTGTCTGCCACTGAGGCCGGGCTGAGACGGGACAGGAGGGGCCCGGAACACCTGTTTGGCAAGCATGACCGCCGGTCAGGTCTGAGGAGGGGTCTCTTCCTGCCAAAGTTCTCTGCACTTTGTCCTTGATCTCCTCCACACTCGCCTTCCCTGTGGCTTGTCCTACACTCTCATCTGAAACTGGGCGGAAGTCTGCAGAATAAATATAAAAACAAGATCAAAGCCACACACAGCACAAGGAGAAGTAACACGTGTAACACATATAGGAACAGACACACTATATGGCTGTGTATCTCATCTCAATACCTTCTTAGGTGACACTGGACTAAATGTGCTAGTCAGCATCAAAATCTCTAAACCAATGCCTAAATAATTTCACATTTCTACCACACAAGTGACCTAGTTTGAAGAAGTGACCCTCTTTCCTACGGCGACATTCCTCTTAGGTAAAGAACTATATATGTATGTTAGAATTATATGTGGTTGAAGTGAAATGAGGTCTTTGAATCCTACCGCAGTGCCCCATTTGTGCAAAGCCCCCCTTCTTCTGCACCGCTGCTTCTCTGACTCCCTCGTCTGCCTCCATCTCTCTTTTCTCCTTCCTCCTCTTCTCTTGCGTCTCATCACTATCCCCGCTCTCTCTATTCTTATCAAGCAGCCTGTCGCTGCTCGGCAGCACTCCCCGCTGTTGAAACCTGACCTTCTGCTTTAGCGCCTCGCCACTGGGGAACCCCCCGTGGTACCGGCCATTGTAGCCCAGTCCATCGAGAGCAAAGTGGCCGGTTTTGGTGTGGCCTGATACCCACGCCTCCTCGCAGTTGGCGTAATCACCCTCCGCATAGCCAGCCAGGGTGTCCAGTTGGGAGTCGGCCAAGTGCTGGGTCGATGGGGGCCGTGGTCGCCCCCATCTGGGGAACTGCTGCGGACGTCTCCACGTGGCTAAGGGGGGCAGGGCATCCGGCTTCCTCTCCTTCCTTCTTCCCTCCCTTTCCAGGTACAAGCAGTCGGTGCTGCTCGGGGACTGCTGGCGGGACGCGGTGCCGGGGTGAGCTGCTGCGGCGGCGGCCTCCCCAGGGCTGACTTCTGGTGGGGGCCGGGGCCTCTTCAGGATCTCTGTGCATTTGTCCACGATGTGCCACATCTGGAGGAAACTGGCCACGGTGACGTAGTTCACGATGTCATCGTGCACGATGCTCAGCTGGCCCGTGTAGGCCGAGCTCAGCACACTCTCGAAGGCCACCGGGTCCATAACCGAGGGGAGGGAAACAGTCGTAACATTCTTCAGCAACACCTGTCGAGAGACAGCAGAGAAGACGTACCGAGTTTTGAAATATTGGGGCTGAGTGAAAGCATCGACAACCTTATTGTAAATGAATGAACCTGGCCCACCTGGTCGTGAAAGTAAGGCGAGGATGCAGCGAGCACACAGCGGTGGGCCCTGAACACTTGCCCCTGCACCTGGATGGAGAGGTCACACAGTCTTCCTTCCTCTCGCTGCCGGTTCAGATTGTCCAAGACGGCAGCACGGGCACCAGGGAAGCACACCTGGACAGTCAAACCAGCTGGAGCAGCAGAAGCACTGCAGGTGGCATCCATGGTCTCACAAAACTAGAGAGAAGAATAACACTTTACAAAGTGAAAATCGATTATTTTCAATATTTTGTCTCAATGCAGTAGATGTGCATCTACTGTAGTTTTTATTGTAGTTACTTATCTATACATCTGTTCTTGTACTTCCCTTTGCTGCTGTTACACTTTCCTTGCGTGTGGTATGTTTATCTTCAGTGTTTATTTTTTGTTGGGTATAATATTTTGAGGAATGTGTCCTTTGTATCGAGGAACGTTTAAATTACAATATGTGTTGATTTTATTTATTGATCATAAAACATTTACAATACAAGTACATGCACATCTCAGCATGTTACTGAAGGCAACAGGACAACACATCCAGATCCAAGACAGAACTCAACTAAATGGAAAACAATAGCAGTGACATCGACATTTAAACTACAATAAACTGAGGCAGTTTCTTCATTGCAACATTCTCAGTGAGGTGAATGTATTTTATCTCGACAGCAATTACAGAGCTGAAATAACTAGTCAACTAATCAATTAGTTGATCAAGAGAAAGTTCTTCTGAAACTATTTTAATAATGGAGTAATTGCATTTTCAAGCAAATATAAAACTAAACTGACTGGATTCAGCCTCGCAGAAGTGAATATTTACTGCTTTAGATTGTCTTATATGAAAGTATGTTGAATCTTTTCGTTATTTGGACAAAACGAGTATCATCAAATTGATGGTTTTCCCAAGTAACACTAACAATACCTAAACAGCTCACTGTCAAATAAACACAAAAAGCAGTAAATCCTCACAACTGTGAAGCTGGAACAGTAGCTGGAAAACAAACCGTAACAATTAATTCATCACCCTTTAAAATGCTTTAATTGTAAATTAACGCATTTTTCAAACTTTTTCATTCACTTGTCAATCGACCGTGTAGCTAACGTTTAACATAATTGATCGATTGTTTGAGCCCCGTCCTCAGATGGGCAGGCTGTCGATAAAGATATTGATTTGTGATCAGAAATGCAGGAGCTTCCACCTGATGATCACTACCACATCTACTGTTAGCTCGCTAATGTTAGCTACTGCGAGCTCTCACATGGTCCGTCACATAAACGGTTGTCGTTAAAAAGCACTATTACCAACATGTGGTCTGGTCACGGTGTGCATTCGCTCATGTCTGCGTTAGCGTGTAAAGTGAGCTGACCAGCATTGATTAGCTCACACGTTAGCTAGCTAGCAGTTAACGTTAGCTTAGTTACTTTACCTTTGATATGTCGGTATGTCGAACTTTTTTTACTTTTATAGAGCGCGTCGCTGGCTATTTGTAGCACAACATTATTATTCGCGAATTCCAGATACAAAATGACGTTAACGTCGCTCGTTTGTGTAAAAAATAAAAATAAAAACAAGCTCGTAAATGCTAACAGCAGCTTGCCCGTAGGCGTAGCTGATGCTAGCTGGTTGACAAAACAGCATCGGCACTCCTCACACACAACGTTAGTGGGTGTTTGGTGTTAGAGTTGAATTGTTGTGAAATGCCATCACACTGGTCAGCAGCTAAAACCCGCGCTTCAGCTGCATTATTATCTAATTATTATAAAAGCTGAACCCACAACTGCACGGGCAGTTATTGACTGATACGGCGTTAAATGACCATGTTGACAGAGAGATTAAATATTAGCATAACTAACCCCGCCCACTGGAGCCCAGTTAAAGGGCCAGTTCACCCTAATAGTAACTACCCCAAGCCCTTTGTTGCTCATTAAACGCGCTATAAACGCTCAGTGAAGCCCCTGCGGTGCCCCCTCGGACAGAGCTAAACTAGTTTCAGTTTAAAAACAGCGGGGCATAAGCTCAAACAGTCGTCACATACTGGTTGTGCTCAGCCACGCACGGACGTTGTTTGTTTTTTTTACCGCAGTGCATCTGCAGCTTCCTGGGACGAGCGACAGAGGTGCCGCTGTGGCGCAGGAAGAAAGGCGCACCGTTAACAGGCACAGGGCGCATCTAATAGATTAGCTTCTCTTTTTTCTTTGGGAGGGCTCGCGTCTTTTCATGCACCACATGCAGTTTTATCCGCAATGCATGCACGAGCGAAGCATCTCTTCTACGAGCGCGGGGGTCAGTAGATAGGCGAAAATACAAAGTGTCTCCATCATTCAGCTGTCATCGCAGGGGAGGACAGGATTTTTTTCTTCTTCTTCTTCTCCGAGGAGACGACTCGAGGAGAGGATGCCTCTATTTCAGGACAGTAGGCTCTGATTTCAGTGATCCGATTAAGGATAAGAATTGGCCATTAGATCTGTATTGTCTGTATTTAATAGGCCTTTTGGTAGCGCGTAGCCTGTAAAAGGTAGATCACAGAGCATGCAAAGCCATTATATATGCACTGGCGTGTGAGTGTATTGCAGACGTCCAGTCAGTAGTTTGCGTGTGGCACATTATATAAACACACCTAATCTGTGTGCATACCCTGCAGTTGTGCAAACACAAGAGAAGCAGAGCATGTGGCCCCAGGCAGGTCTAATGGTTGCTCTGTGCATCTCACATTAAGACCTCAGGGGAAAAGAAGATAATCAAATCTCAGGCTGTTGATCTGGGTGAACACTGAGAGTCAGATATCCGGATTGTTTCATATGCTGCTGGATAATTAAAAGCGGAAAGAAAACCACCACTGGAATGCACCAGTTATAGAGAGACAGTAGGGGGCTGTGTCTAAATCATCAATAATTTGTTGGCAAAAACAGAAATTCTGCAACCAATAGGGTGTAACTGTTGCTGGCTTTACAATGCATGTTTAGCTGATGCAGTAACTGCCTCCGTTCAATAACAACAAAATCTGAGGTCAGTTTACGAGTGTCCTGACAATCATTTAAATTTCCAACAACAAGTCTTTTGGAGCTCCACACCAGGAGTGCTGCTGTTAAAGTTGGTACTTTTTTTGAGGCTCCTCCAACATCCAGTTGACATCCAGTTGACATGGCAGTATCAAACCTCCTGCTCCTTGCTCTCCTCTGCAGCATGTTTGGTGAGTTGAGCCGATTACCTGTGGCCTTCGTGATGTGTTGCTGCATCGTGTTGTAGCCAAAGTAGTGAGTGTTTGTCCCTTTTTTTTTTTCTTCTTTTTTTTTTTGCAGCATACTGCCGTGGGGCCTGTGCAGAGCCGGACTCTGACACGGAGGCGGTCGCGGGCAAGGGCTTCAAACTGGGCTGCCTCTCCTGCAAGAGGAGGAGTGAGGTGACCGGGACCGCCACAGTCCAATGGTACTTCAGGGGGAAAGGAGAGGCCGACTTTTATCACGTGAGTGTGCAAATCATCCGCCGAAGAATTTCTTAGTCTGGTGCCGGCACAAAATCTAACTGACGCAGCACATTGTGGAGTGCAGGAATTATTTGTCCTTCCAAAGGAGTTTAAGTTGTGCGAGCATCCTTAAAATCCCACTTGTCCTAGACCCCTTTCCTTAAGACAAAGGCTTTTTATATATGCATGCATATACAGTCCACACCCAAGCTTCCCCCTCTCACACACACACACACACACACACACGCCCTCCATCGCATCATAGCGCCCAGTGCCGAGGTCATGGTTAGAGTCAGAGGCAATCGATCGTTGGATGTTACACCACAGGGATCATTAAAGCTCCAGAGATGACACGCGGCCGTGTTGACCTCGTCCTCTGTTTGCCACCAGAGTGCATAGCTGCGCTAATGTCGCTTCATATATAAATCCATAAGTCCAACAAAATATATCATCAAGCTTGAGGATCTGGATCTTTGTGACCTTTTTTTTGTCTTAATGCTCCTTTATGTGGCAACAAAACACATGTGTGTAATGTATCAATATAAATAGATACATAAAGAGTAAAGACAGATACAGACACTTCAGGCTCCCGAATATAATGGGATCTGTTAGTTGCGCTTTGTACTCGTTTTGTTGTTCTTATTGTGATCACCATAGCACTGAAGGAACATCATTTCATTCCCCTGTATACTAAGCTTTTTATTTTTGTTTGCTGACTGTTGTTGGTTTTTTTCCTTCTTATATATATATATATATATATATATATATATATATATATATATATA